TTCAGGGGTCCTCACCACAAGGATGCAGAGCCGCTGGAGCAAGTCCAGAGGAGGCCACAGACATGCTCAAATAGCTTTCCACTGCCAGAGGGCAGGGTTAAATGGGGTATTAGGAAGAAATTTTTCCCTGTGAAGGTGGGGAGGCCCTGGCACAGGTTGCCCAGAGAAGCTGTGGTTGACTCATCCCTGGAAGTGTCCAAAGCCAGGCTGAGTGGGACTCGAAGCAACCTGGGCTAGTGGAAGATGTCCCTGCCCATGGCAGGGAGTAGGACAAGATGGGCTTTAAGGTCTCTTCCAGTCCAAACCATTCTGTGATTCTATGTTCAGCTTTTTATCCCTATAGGCGTTTATTTAGCAAAGATGAAACAGAAGAATAAGAAATTTAGTTGTCTACTTTACATCAACATTAACTTGACTTTATTACATGAGAACACTCACAGACGAAAGGCGGTACAGACATATTGAGTTTTTCTCTTGGGAAAACAAAGAGTTTAAAAATATTTAAAGCTGCTCTCCCTTACTGGTCTCAAGAGCTGAAATGGACCCTCAGCAAATAGAAAAATGGTCATTAGTCATCCCCCCCATGATAAAAATATTCCTCCATTTCCATCATGCTGTACCTAACATGAATTTTAGAGCATTTTGGCTCCTTGAGAGCAGTGTCATTTACAGGTAAAAAAGGGCTCCCTGCATTTCACCTGATTATCACTCATATTGCTCCTCAGTGCCTCGACATGGCAGACCCGTGGTCTGGGGATGCTCCAAGCAGTGCCACCCTTTCTCCTGGAAAGTGCTTGCCTTCAGCAGACCCTGTTCCAAGTGACTGCAGTCATGGTACCTGTAGAGTGAACACCTGATCCTGGCTTTCCTAACTCCAAGAAGCCATGCTAACGTACCCCAAACATCCCTGTAAAGCTTCTATGTGCATTCACACGTGCACACTCATCTTGGCATCAGTGCCCAGTGTGACGAACAATCACTGCAGAAATCAGCATTTAGGGCACACAGTGATGCTTGTCTTCAAGAAAGAAAGAATACAGAACATTAGGAAAGCAGCTTGCATAAATCAAAATGTCTCATTGAGAGTGAACCCAAATAAGGCCTGTTTTCCCCGGGGATTTCTGCAGGTATCCCTAGCCCTTTCCTCATCCCAACTCTGCACCTACATGTTCCTTGAGCAGACCCCAGAAAGGAACAGTGTGTGCATGCTGGACCCACCTGCCCCAGATCCACGTGCCTACTGTCCTGCTGCCACCAATCACTTGCATGCTGGCAACTCTGTCTATCCCTTCACCACACAGAACCTTCATCTAACCTTTCTCTTTCACTATTCACCAAAAAGACACCCCAAAAAATTTAAATAACCTTTTTATTTAACAAATACATCTGAAAGCAGCCACTAGTTTCCTGAGTTATTTGGGGCAGCTCCTAAGAGAGCAATCACAACAGCTTCATTTCCTTAAGAGATCAAGCTAAACCAAATACTTAGCCACTAAAAGTAAGTAATGTCCCATGCACCAGTGCAAATACCAGGGACACAAAGGTGATAAAGAGACTGGAGCATTTGTCACAGGAGGAGGAGCCAAGAGGGCTGGGGCTGCTGATGAAGGTTCTGGGAGACCTGACCAGTGTGCTCAAGTACCTGCTGGGAGGAAGCAAGGATGAGTGGGCCAGACTCTGCTCTGGACAGGAGGGAATTAGCACAAGGGAAACCACACAAAACTCCATCTGAACACAAGGACGTACATTTTTCCTGCGAGGGGTCAGACACTGGGACAGGTGGCCCAGAAACGCTGCAGTCTCCATCCATGGAGATGTTCAAACTCTTAAGCAGCTCCTGGACAACCTGCTCCAACTGCCCCTGACTGAGCAAGGGTGTGGGACTCAATCTCAGGAGATCAAAGACACACTAGAGGAGTCTGTGATTCCACAGACCACCACACCGCACAAGCAATAATGACCCTACGTTCACACATATGTATTCTATGTTCATATAAAACAGATGGAAGGAAACAAAACCACCAAAAATCTGGTGCAATCCCGTATCTTCAGTAGCTGGGAGGTAATGGAAAATTGCAAAATTCTGTACTAAGCCCCGTAACGACAGCAACTGACAGCACTGTCTCATACCAAGGAACTTCTATTCTAAATCCACTTGCCCAGATGTTTCTGCCATCCTATTTTAGGACAAGTGAAAAACGTGGAGTCTCTACAACCTAACCATTTAGAAGGTAAAGCATTAATTTGCTTTTGGCAAAGACTTATTTAAAAGACAACATACAGAATTGTTTTAAGACAGCAATTTTGAAAAGGAAACATTCCTTTATGGCCTTAACGAAAAGGAAGTTGTTTCTCTGTGCGTGGCAGTCGTGTGGGAACTAGATGATCTTTAAGGTCCCTTCCAACTCAAACTATTCCATGTTTCTATGATTCTGCGATTAACCTTAATTTAACAAACCATACCTGTACAGTCTGTTAGTGCACAACTGCGGCATAAAGATGAACAGCAAGGTGCAATGGCTCTGCACAGTGGTAATCAGCCAACACAATGCACATTTTAATGCCACAACAATGCCCACCTGTGGTTTCAGTTACTTTGAATTGAATAAATTAAGTAACCATAACTCAGGGTTCCTTGACAGGATATTGCAAGAGAACAGATCCATTTTTCATCTCCAACCTCTCAGTGTCAATTTAATTGTAGTAATTGGCACTCATACACAGACAGGAATCAAGACTAAGGTCAAATCCTGTTTCCAGGGGAGGATCTTCCCAGTTAGAAGTGAAGATCCCACTCAAGACCTGAGGCACAGCCCAGGAAAATGATGGTGTTGGAGAGGTGTGATGGACAGTCCCATGTCACTACGGCACTGTTTCAGAGCAGCAATGCACGCTCTTGGAAGGAAAGTTTTCTGGTTTTTGATTGTGCACAATTACCTGGTAGCCAGCAGAATTCCTTGTCATATACAGACTTTCACACCCATAACATGCAATTTACTGCAGAGTAAGCAGTGCATGGGAAACAGGCACAGACAAATAATGTACTTTGTTATATACTGAGGGAAACAGCAGCCGTGTATTCCATGTATGGCCTTGTAATAAGAGGCCTGTAGAGGCAGAATGCTCATTTATTCTCATAAGAAACACATTATCTATTCCTTTTTGATAACAAGTCTCCTTGCAGATACTTCTCCCACTTACTGTGTGTAAGGATGACAAACTATCTTCTTCATCATCATCATCACTGGCACTTTTTAAATCTCACTTTCTAAAAATATCATTGGCAAATGGTATTCTGCCACAGTTCCGAAATTTCCTTGCAGGGAATGTAACTGCCATCAGTACATTTGCTTCCACAAAACACATCCTGTATGTAGTAAGCCCAGAAGAGAAATCCACCCCAATCCAAAGATGCAAGATGATTCCAACTGGACTGTTCCAACCCCCATTGGCAATCCCATGTTTTTCCCATAAATAGTGCATTTTAAAAATTGTTTCTCAGAAGCTGCAAAATGCTGTCTCTACACAACATAAATAAACATCATGTACTCAGAATAATTTTTCGACTCCTACAAGCATTCAAAATAATTCTAGGATCATTTATTAGTCCATTAGTACATTAATAATTAGAACTTAGGACTAAAACTTTTAACTGACTGCTTTCAGTATAAGTAATGGATCACAAGTGTCCTCCCCACTGAGTTACCAAGCTTCTCACCCATGATTATTAAGCAACATGAACATGTCTATGAAAATCTCGCATCTGCTTTACACCATTTTCCAGTTCAACAACTATTTCATTACTACCTTTTATTTTATTGATTACCCCATATCAAATCAGAACTTGACTCTGAGGAAAGCAACTGAATCTTAAATCCGCTCTTCCTTAAGGACAGAAAAACCCCACTTTTGAAGAAGTTTAAAGGAGATGATGTGGTGGGGATGGACTGTTTTCAGCACCAAAGCTCCATCCCAGCTCACAGACTGTCATTCCAAGAGGCTGAACAGCAATCCCTATGGGTCCCACGCAGCCTTCAAGACTGAAGGGATGCTCTGTACTTCAGCAGGGACAGGTGCAGATACAGCAAGATAACAAGAGTGCAGATCACCTCCCCCCTGTCTTGTCTACATCCGGGTCCCTGTAACCGGAGCATTCTTCTTCCTCTCCATCAGAGGGGTTGGATTTCTCATGAGCCACTTCCAAATAACCGCACCAGCTGGGCAACCCTGCCCCCGCTCTCCCGAGAGCGCATCCATATGCTCCAGGAAATGGCAGGTGCTGACTTGGGAACGACTTTATTAAAACTCAAGACATAGTTTTGAGACAAATAAGTTTCAAAAATAAGACGTTATACTCTAAAGGCAATTCCTTGCTCCAACGAAACAGCTTGCAGCTGACATTGAGAATGCTGGATGACTACACAAATTACCCATTTTAAAAACTATTTTTTTACACCATAAATTATGCTGACCCCTTCGGATGCTGTTGGCATTGCAAACTGAATTCCTAATTCCTCAGGAATTCCACAGGATTGTAGCTATTGTGGTTCCGTTTTTTTTCCCTTCCGCTATCACGGGTAGCTCAGCCGCAGTGGCCCAGGCCCCGCGGTGCAGCGGAGGAGCCGGGCCGGGCCGGGCCGGGCCTGCCGGGGCCGGAGGAGTCCCGGGGGCAGGAGCCCCGCGCCCCCGCGGGAAGGGATGCGCCTCGCCTCGCCTCACCCGGGCCCGCCCCCGCACTCCGCTTCTAGAAGGTACCGGCGGCCGCTGCCCCGGGGCGCCCACCCCTCACAGCGCCTCCCCTCGAACCGGGCCCACCGCAGGGGCTCGGGTAGCAGGGACCCGCCAGCGGTGGCGATGGGGGCGATGGAGCGACGGTCTGTGAGAGGCGGCCGAGGCCGCATTCCTGAGCCGCCCCCGCCACCCCCTCGGCCCTCCCGGTCCCCTGCACTGGGGCCCCCGCCCGGCCGTGGCCAAAACAGTCGCGGGGCGGCGGCACTCACCTCCTCGGCCTGCTTGCGCAGCGCCTTCTCCCGCTCGTACTGCGTGAGCAGCTGCTCGTTGTCCTCCCGCAGCAGCTCCAGCTCCACCTCGTGCTCCTGGTTGTCGGTGAGCACCGAGTCCAGGTTCTCCAGCACCGTCACCACCAGTGGCATCAGCTCCTTCACCACCTCCTCATCGTAGCAGTGGATCAGTCGCTCGAACTCGCGGTAAATGCTGTTGGCAAGGCCCGAGACCCGCTCCGACATCACCGAGCCCGAGCAATAATCATCGCCCGGGTACCCCCCCACGCCGCCATCGTCTAGCTGGATCTCCAGCATCCTGCCGGCCGACTGCTCTCGGCCCCGCTCTGCTCGCCTCCGCTTCGGACCTCCGCTGACGCCGCTGCCGCCACCGGGCGCTGCCCTGCCCCGCCCCGCACGCGGCGTCACGGTCCGCGGGCACCGATCGGGGCGGAGCGCGGCGGCACCGCCCAGAGCGGCTAGATCGGGGGTGAGGTCTGCCCGTGCGGAGAGCAGGCGCGGCACCGCAGTGCTTCTGGCGCTGGAGGCAGGGGCGGCAGCGGCGGCGGCGGAGAGCCGCCTGCGCAGGACGCCGCGCCGGGAGCGAGCCCGCCCGCGGCCGGTCCCGAGCCCCGCGGCAGACAAAGCTCCGCGCAGCGGGGCTCCACGCACGGCGCGAGGGGCGCACTCCGGGCCCCACGCTGCGGCGTCACGCGCAGGGACACCGAGCAGCGGCCAGCGCATGCCCGGGTCGCGCCGCACCTCGGACACGCGCTGGCTCTGGGAGGCGCGTTAGAGACTCGTCACAGCCGCGGTACTTGTATTTCCAACATCGGGCAGCCGTAGTTGATAAAGAGAAAGGAGACAAGAACCTGTTCGGTCAGGGATGAACTGAAAGCCAGAGGGCCATATTGGCCGTCTCAAGTCTTCAAAGAAAATTCAGCACAACCACTGAATTTAATCAGTAGATTTCCCAAAGAAACAGCAGCACACACCAATTACAGGCAGAAGCTCCAGCAAATTACGGGCGGTAGGCTCCACCACCCTCAGCAGGTGTCACAGAAGTCAGAGTCTGCCACATCCTCGGCTCAGCTGAGTTTGCGCTGTAGAGTTGGAAGAAACCAGCAGGAATCATTCATCTCTGTACTGAGAACAGCCTGGCAGGAGAGAGAAATAAGGGGTCGATTTGAGAAAAGGCTCCCCACACCTTCATTTGGCTTAGAGCTCTGAAGAGTCTAATTCCAAGGTCGTGACTACCAATGACCCTAAAAGCTTCATATTGCACAAAAGGAAGGAACTTTAACCCTACCCAGAAAGCCTAATTGCAATTGGAGTATCACATCTCACTGGTAATTAAGAATTTTAAGTTTTATGAGTGTTTTGTTCTGTGTTACATCATTAGCAGCTTTTAGACAGCTACTTTTATAGCAAAAACCTATTTGTATCTTTAAAAAAGATAATTGAAAGGGAATTAATGGAATGGAACAGAATGGAACAGAATAGAATAATACTGTATGAAATAGGTGTAGCTCACTTGGAAGGGTCCTGCAATAATTGAGGCTGAGGTGTAATTAGATACGGGGTGGATCACCAGTAGATTGTGAGGCATCTGAATGTAACAACCAGATTTTCAAATGTTTCCACACAGAGCAGACCCGGCCAACTGCATCAAAGCTACTGAGCGCATAGACACAAGAAACAAATGTGAAGAAACTCCTGCTCAAAAATTTAAAACCCTGTAAGTCATCCATGTTGGGCCTTGATTCATTCTGTCTTGTATGGGAAACTTTATAGATCAAGAGTTGTACTGTTATTCACAACAAACACAAGAGTGTGCTGTATTAAATGCAAGATTGCATTTAACATATTATGAATAAAAATGTACAGGTGAACAGAGAAGCAAGGCAGGCAAAGAAAGAGGTAAGACTTATTCACTAATTCCATATTACACTGAACTTCTAATCTCCTATAATCTAGAGAGCATATAAAAACATTTATAAAGTCTTCTTGCATTTTGTCCACATACATAAGAAACTGAAACCATGGACATGACATAAACTAAAGCCTGTTGAACCACAGACACTGATGAGCTCATGGCATTACCCACTCTTCTGAAATGTGTCCTCCTTTCTACAACAGAATCCTGGTTCAGGTCCAGTGACATTGTTAAGGCTCCTGCTGAAAGACAGTGATTGCCTTAAATTGGACATTAAAAGGTACATTCCTATATTTATAGATTCATAAGTAACTTCAAGTCTAGAGATCAGTCAAGAAATGGCAGGAATTCTAGGTGCTGCCATGCATGAGAAAGAATTAAAATACCACTTCCAGATCAAAGTTGGCAAGCGAAATATTTGCTTATTCTACACTTTTGGGGTTTTATTGCATCTAGCATAGGAGTTTATCTAGGTTTCAAATTGTTATTTGCTTAGCACTAAAAGCAAACTAAAAACTGACTGTGCTATACATATGCAATTGTGTTATGGCTGTAAGGGTGCTTTGCTGAAGAGCTTGCGTTTCCAAGTAGGAAAAGTAAAGGCACAAGGAGTGAGAAATGGATAGAAACACTGAGACTATGCAAGGAAAATCAGGATTCTTTTGTAATAACTGTATGGTCTCCAATTAACTATTGGGGTTTTTTGCCTTAGACAGCTGGAACTTTTTGTTATGTTTGCCCAATTATCCAATCACAAAATAAAAGGCCAAACAGAATTAAATGTAACAATAATTTTAATAAAATTTAAATGAAATAATTGAAAAATATAAACTTGAATATATTCAATAAATTGACAATATAATTTGGTTATAATAGAATATAGTCTGGTTCGGGTAATGACGCATAAGCAAAATTACCGCGGGGTACGGAGCGCGAGGGCCTTGGGACCCCTGCCACCTCACGTACAAGCTTGCCAAGCCCAAAATTCCCCCCTTTATACTGTCTATTATCAGCATCCCCTCCTATTTTCGATTCATCACACTGGTGTCTCCACCCTCATCTTCACCTTCACCGCGCATGCGCCACCATCTTTTAGGGGGTCGCACCCCTCTTTGGGGGTCGTCCAGATGAAGGCCGCTCCTCTTCCTCAGGCGTCCTTTATTTCACCTTTGGGTTACACATGCGCACCAAGCTAATATCATATATGCCAAAACAAAAATTATACAAGCCAATATAATAAATCTTGTAAATTAACATATTTCTGATTTCCACCCAAGTTTCTCTTCTTTCAGTTAATTTTAGCAAGCTTTATCTGACTCCTTTTCCTGCCTCGAACATCTGCAGAAAATAATGGGGGGGGTGGACCCTTCCCTTCCGCTTTCCTAGCTTTTTACCTTTTTAACCATTTTGTTATCTCTAAATATTGATTACTATATCCATATTGATTACTGTTTCAATTTTATCAGCACGAATCACACCTATTTATCACATTTTCTTTGTGAAAGAATAAGTATTTTTAGGTGTCTTGGTGTGGATATTCTCAGTTCAGTCGAAGAAAGAACAGAGATAACTTCTCCCATGCTGAACCTGGGAATCTTAGAGGAAAAAATTATTATTTCTCTTTCTGTAGCCATTGTTTATAGATATGGTTCTCCATAGTTCACCAATAATGTGAGAAGTTTCTGAAACCAATCAAGTATCACTTTAGCGAGTCACATTATAAAAATGAAATAAATAGGGCAGGAGATCTTTCTCCTTTTTAATGCCTTTATTAAAAAAATATTCAGTTCAGACTGGGGAGAAACGACATGTCGCCCGCGCCGCCGCTGCTCCCAGTCGTGGAACGGAGGAGGAGGAGGATGCAGCTGTGTCCACTGGTCTGCAGGCAGAGCTGGGGCTTCCGTCCTCGAGGGAGGAGTGGGAATTCCACTTTTTCGGTTTAACATTCCAGGTCCTCTTTCTAGCTGACATCCTTCAGGTTAGGGTGAGAAGTAAAAATTATCTTAGCAGATACTGGATTAAGTTCCTCATCTTTAGACATTACTTAGGTGTCTTAATTCTATGTTGGCTCGTTATTTTTAGGTTTTTTTTCCTGGAAAATTGCAAAATTTGGTGAAATGCATTCTCGTCTGCATACCAGCTCTGATGTTACCCCCCACCGCTACCTGCAGGCTCCAGTGAAGCAGCAGGGGGGACAATTGCGCTTGATTTCTAACTATTAACAGGTAATTGAAGAAAAACTATTAACAATGGGTGATTGCAACATGAAGCTGTCAACAACAAATAGTCAAAACTTCAACAGCAACTAGCCCAACCTGTTTAACTTTGCAGCCTTAAAAAAAAATGGATAACTTTCTTACTCATAACAAAAAGACACGCTACTTTAATTAAAAGCTTTTGCCTTCTGATCCACCTGAAGACTGACGTCTTCTTTCCATCCCTGACTCAACAGCATCATCTTGGTTTGAAAGACAGGTGTCTGCCAAGGAAGGTGAGAACCTCCCTTGGAGTAGAAAATGTGACTCCCTTCCCTCCAAATTGTTATAACTCTGAAATTATGGGGCTTTCACGAAAAGATATGATAAAAGGAATAACGGTTCTTTACTAGTAGATATATGTATGTATAGCAAGGCAAACAAACATCAACAATGGCAGCAACAACAAACAGAAAACAGAAATCCAACCACAGCCTTGTCTCGGCTTCAGGCACCTTCCCCTTTGGCGCCCTTCTGCCCGCAGCCAGCAGGGGCGCTGGTGGTTCCCGGCCCGGCGGGTGCGATGCTTCCCCGCGGCTGCAGGGGGCGCTGTGGCCCGAGCTCCGCCGCTCCTGCACGCGGGGACGGCGGCTCACCTAGCGGGGCCGGGAGAAAAGGGGCTTTTTTTGCAAACCCTCAGGGGCGGCCAGTCCCAGTGCCCCTCCAGATGGACAAGTGGGCTGTAGCAGGAAACTTGGAGCACTGGCTGGAACTGAAGAGGTGGACGCCCAGGGTGACAAACAAAATGTAGCAAAAAGCTTCAGCCTTAGCAGGAGCTGCAAGAGTTGGGTGGACGCGGCATGCTGGGTTAGGGCGTAGCAAGAAAGCCCAAGTCAGCGGCAGAAAGCCGGGAGCTGGGCAGCAGCAGCTGGGCTTCTCCCTAGCAGCTGCCCACACACCCAGGAGACACACACACCCTCGGGGAGGAGGGAAGGGTTTGGGGTCCTGGGTTTTGCCTGGCGGCGCCCGAGTAGATGGTGATGGTCCTTTCCAGTCGGATCAGGTATTAGTAAGGTCCCAGTTCAATAGCTGCTCTGAGGAGCAGAGGCTCACCCACAGTAAGAAAGAAAGCAGTAATGGGCTGGACTCCACAGTGGCAGCAAATTCCCCCGCGGTAGCAGCAGCATGACTGTTGCCCCCTGATCCCGAGAGCAAGAGAAGAACCAAGCCCAGCCCCCTGACCCCCCAGCAAAAAGTCTCCAGCTATCTTTGCCCTTCCCAAGAGAAAAGCCCCTGGCTAAGTCTGCAGCCGGCTGCACGCCTTCCCCCCACCTTGGGCACTTCTTTTGTCTCTCCTAAGTGCTCATCATTATTATCTGTTAGGCAACTGATGGGAGAAAATTCCCTGAGGTGGGGGAAAAAAATTCCTAACATTAGGTTTCTACTTTGATGGCACACAACCAACGAAAATATGATCTTGTTTTTAGTACCTAGAACTCACCTTCAGTTAGTACTGAGCTGAAATTCAAGGTGTTGTTTCAACAGCAAAAGATGGACCCCAGTACCATAGGACAGTTGTGGTAGAGAAACAATTTATGTAAACTAGGTTTCATGTGAAAAACAAGAGTTCACTTTCTAGAATTTTTAAAAGTTTAATAAAGGATTAAAGAAGAATTCAGTGCTGGGGTGCTTTTGGTAAATGGCCAAAGAGCACATTGGTAGCTTAAAATCATGTTCTCTATATAGAGTTACATTGCTGGGGATACATGCATATTCATTATGTTATAGATGAGTGAATGGTTGACTCTCACAATTAAGAGGTGACCATTATATGTATGTTAAGTTTTATAAATGTATAGTTGTGTTACTGCAATGTGCTCCCCCCCCCCACCGTGTGTGTTATCATGGGATGGTCTTGGTAATCTGGGCATTTGGGAAGGTTGGCTTGTTACTACGGCAGCACCTGACCTCCACTCAGAATGTAAGAAAGTGACCTCTACCACTGGACAGCAAGGAAGGAGTTGACTGACAAGGCTCTAGGAGGGGCTAGAGATAGAAAAGGTGAAGCATTCATCTTGAAGACGACCTGACCACGTGGTAGGCAGCCACAGGAGACTTTCCAGCGCTGTTTCTGGTTTGAAAGCAAAACCAGTGAGTGACTCCAAGTCAGAAATACATTTTCTGAGAAGAGGGAAAAGAAAACCAAAATACATGCAATAATACAAAAGAAAAACCACTGACAAAGTCAGAATACAACCTGACACCCTGTTGGTCAGGGTGTTGCTTGCAGTCCAGTTGGATTGGTGGCTGCAGTCCTCCTGGAATGGCAGATGTGCTTCTGCTGGAGCAGTGATCCTGTAGAAAGGGTGTAGTCTTCCTTTGAAAACCCAGTGGAAAAGACGGCTGTTCCTCTGGGAATCCAGTGGAAAGACTGACTGTTCTGTCCCAAATCCCAGATGATATCCAGGTAGGGATGCTTAGCTCCTCCCCCCTGGGTGGAGCATCTCACAATGGGCTGTTTTCATCCTCTGAGTCATGTGTGGATCCGTCAAACAGAAATGGCTCCTGGAGGGGTTTATCTCTGAGTCATGTGGAAAGGCATTGATGAGCCCAGTAACAGAAGATAAAAAAACAATGCCCCTCCTGGTTTCATCAGCTCTTGAGGATGGGAATAGAATTCATCTTAATATTGTAACCTAGGACACGCTGGTTTTCCTTATTTAGTCCTTTTGTTGTATTTTTGCTAAGGTTGAATAAGCCTTTTAAAATTTTTAAAGTGAGCAGTTATTTCTCACAATTAGTTTATACATTATTAAACATTCCTTTGAGTTTTTGATGTTCCAGGAACTCTTGTTTGGTTTTAACCTCTGACTTGTCTGCAGGACATTCTGTAGATCAGGTCCATATATTTTATTTCTTCCTGTAGTTCTGTCCTGTTGTTTCACACTCCCTGATAGCACAGAGTCAATAAATCTTTCCTGGATGCTTATGCTGTGTTTTTTGTCATTATCTTGTCACTTGGAGAGGCCAGTCCGCAGATGTAAGAAACAGAATAATTGATTTACACCATTCTCTGAGTTAGTTACATAAAAGTATTTTAGTCTCTATTTTAACATTTTGCTAAAGCCTACGATATATTTATCACACTACTAGTCATATGAACTATACAGTGCATATGTTAAAAAATGAGCCACACTCCTGGTACACTCCCAGTACTAAAAGTGATTTCAGCATTTATTATAATAAAAAGGCCTAAAGCATGGGGTCCCGCAGGCTGCACAGGAGTGCTCCCATCAAGGATGCTGCAGCACCGGTACTGCGTCTTCTTGAACAGTGATGTCCCCGACGTTCCAGATGGAGTGGCACAGATTCACTGGGTCAGAAGCCCCTTTTTATCCTATTTTTCGTCCCTTTGGATTGGTTTCTTTTTGGATCCTTCATTTGCATGAAGGTTGAAGGCGCTTGATTGGCCCATTACAGTTCTGCCCAGGCTGGCTCATTTCACTTGAGAGGTGGTACACTTCACTTAGATGTGTTATGGTATGTTGAGTACCGTATTTCTTATAAGTACCTTTTTAACCCCTTTTACCATAACCAAATTAACAGTACACGCTTAACAATTATCAGCTATGTTACAACAGTTTCTAACCTATTTTTGACACATACATAAATTGACAGATTATACTATTTAACTACAAAGTAGTTAAAAGTATAAGTTGTACCATATCAAAATACTTGTGATGCAAAAAGTTAATCTATGAATGCGAAAAGCAGTATTATCATCTATAACATTTACAAGTGATTAGTCTTGTTTAAAAATACATGGACAGCAGTAACTACTTGTGCTTTCTCTCAGTAAGGCAGTAGTATCTGAAGGGGTGACTGACAAGCTTTAGCTCCTGGGATAGGAGTGTATAAAATCTTTTTTAAAAGGTTTATCTCTGTCTAGAATAAGAATCGATTAGTGGCATTCCTATTTAAAAGTTTAAAAGGAATATGTGATTTGGCTTCAAATTGTCAGGAAAATTAATGCTCAAACACCAGAGGTTTATGTCCAAAAATGAGACAGAGTCCCGTAACTTTACACAAATAAAGGGAGAGGTCATGGGGCATTTCCCCTGGGGTCTCTCAAATGTTTGGAGGACACAGCATCCTTTTTACCCTAATTTCCTGGCCGCATGTCCCTCTTTCTTTCCCCTTGTCTGAGGTACTTGACAGGTACACACTTTCTGAAATGCCTAATACGTAAGACCCTCTTCTAATGTATAACTCCCCTCCTTTGTCTTTTCCTTGTGTCACCCAGTGGAATTCTTTACAGAATTTATGGTTCTTCTCATTGTTTCTTTCATCTCTCAGTATTCAATTTGATTTATCAGCAGACCTACAGTTTGTTTGTAAAGACAAGTGCCTCATTCCTTTCAAAATAGTTTAATGAAGTTCATCTCGCATTGCAGAAGCTTCTTCCATATTTGTTAAGGTCTGGAAAACCCATTGTGGTAGTTTTAAAAAGCCTCATTTTTCAAGTAATTTCTGAACTGTGACTGGTGACTGGTGGTGACTGGTGCTTTGGCCAGGGAATATGTGTTATAGAGATTGTCAGCCTTCATTTTTAAATAGACAACATGCCATGTATCTTGGAAAGCCTTACCAGTATGTCCACCTTTAAAGTTTTAATTTTTAGTTTACAGCCACGGGGTGAAAGGAATTGACCAACAGTTAACTCATGTAACCATGAGTAAACTAGTAAGAGTCAGCAAATATTAATCACAAGCCTAAGAAGCAGGATGTGCCTTAACTTTGTTAAGATAAGAGAAACAGAACGTGCCTTGTCAAGATAAAAGGAACGAAACCTGTTGAAACCGGCATGGAAAACGTGTAACCAGCCAGCAAAGGACTGCACATGCTTCAGAAAGGTGAAAAGTGCAAAGTGAGGAAGACTGCCAGTCTTTGTCAGAACAACCCCTGAGAAAGACCCGGAGCCTTCTTCAATGGACCACCAGAGTACACTGTGCTTGTGTGTCACATATGCTAATGATATTAATAACTTCTGAGAATTTATTTGTATAACCACTCCTATTGCAAGGAATGTAATGAATATGCATGACATTTAACCATATATTGTGCTGTGTAGAAGTGCTGGGTTAGCATGTTAGGAGGAGCGATCCCCCACAT